AACAGTTCAAATTTGATCAAATGGCCTAAACCTTTTTCATTTTCTTATTTTTGATCAAGTGGTCTACATCTACTCCACCAACAACATCCCACCCAGCACCTCCACCTACTACCAGCTCCACACCCTTCTCCATACTTTTCTCCCGAGCCTGTACCACCACCCAAACCTGGATCACATCCTCCAATTCAAGAAAAGACAAAATACCTCCAATGTTTTTATTGACATCTATTCACTCTTTCAGACCAGAACCCACATAAACAAATAACCATAGAAATGAATCCAACTGTGAAGACAAAATCAAGATAAGCCTTTTGACCATATTATTTTTCTACTGCAATAGGTGGCATGACTAGACGTAAGAGTGAATCTTCAACATACAATAACAAAAAGAAAGCTTATATCTGTTGTAAGCGTGGGAGGTTCAGACCCAGAAGAGGGGGCGTAACTATTGTAGAGCAAGGAATGGTGGTATATTTCGAAGATGGTTGTTTTATTGGTGGTGGAGGCTGTGACAGGGAGAATCAGATGGAGGAGAAGAGTGGTAGTGGTAGAGATAGGAAGATGGTAATTTTGCAAGAAAACTACTCCCTCTGTCCCAATTTTATATGACTTACTTTCCTTTTTAGTCAGTCCCAAAAAGAATGACACATTTCTATATTAAGTAACTTTTCAACTATAAAATGTCTATTTTACCCTTAATGAAATGATTTACAGCCACACAAATTTCTATCATTCATTTTGGACCACAAGTTTTAAAAGTCTTTCCTTCTTTCTTAAACTCCGTGCCGAGTCAAACTACCTCATATAAAATGGGACGGAGGGAGTAATTTGGATTGTAACTAATAAACTTACGAGCAAGGGAGTGCTTTTTAGATTTTTTTTAAACGTAATGAGGCGTGTCATACACTTCCAAGCTTAAAAGTGTCCAAGGTAAAACCATTGGGTACTTGCTACAAATATATGTGTATAAAGTCGTTCATGTATTGACGGCGTGTAAAAGGAAGATCTGTGCAAGTTGGAGGGGTATGTATTACTTAGACACGAGAGCTTACAAAGCACATCAATGCAAAAGTATGTGGGTAAGTTTTAGAAAGAGAACATACACTGAGTTTTCAAAAGGAGAATGAAAATAAATATGCCTGTAAGTAAATGACTTCGCACTAGTTAAATCAGGTGATTTACCTCCCATGGACTGTCAGAAACATGAAATCGATCAAGATTCAGTGGAGAGAAAACCCATCTCACTATGGCCAAATTAGATATAAGCCGATAACTCATCATCCGGTCAATAGCAACAGCTGTCATTTGAGCACTGTTTTGCCAGTAAGAACTTACTTCCATAATCAGCTTAACTTGTTGATCATCATCAGTACACATCTTTGCAATGACTTGGCCATATCTCTCCAAGACAGTAATCAAATGAGTAAAGCTTTTTGATCCGATGTCGAGAAGTGTTTGAACAACAACTCCAAGGGTAATATCAAACCCATGGGCTGGAAAAACATTTTCTTCTACCCAGGAAATCATATCCCGGGCAGTTTTCCTACCTTTCACCATGTCCTTAAGTTCTAAAGAAAGTGCACGCTCAGTTGGATCAGTACCATCTTCCGCACTATATTTAAATTGTGGTCCACCTCTTGGTGGAAGTAACTCCTCCAAAGCAGGGGCATTCTCAATGCTCTATAGAAAATGAAAGAAAGAAGAAATATATGAATTGCACTAAAAGAAACGCAAGGAAATAGATTATAAAGTCTTCCCAAAAAAAAGGAGACATCACTAACTTATTTCTAGTGTTTACTCCATCTAAAAATTATATAATGATATATAAAGGTAAAATAAAAGATTATATTAAAAATATTTTCTTAGAGAACATGTTCATGTAGTACTTCAATTAGCATCCCGAATAAAAGCAAAAACCTTTAACTTTAACTTACAGTATATCTGCTTCTAAATTGATACTCATAGAAGTAACAATAGTATCACACAGTACACATTATTCATTATTACTTTATGCAATTCAGTCTTAGGATTTATTTGAGCAACCCATTTTATCTTTGAGTTAATCTTGTCCACTTTTGTCTAAATCACCTAAAAGAAATGTTGTAAAATCATGCCAACATCTACCCAAACTCATGCAATATTGCTTTTAGCTATAAACTTCATATGTTTACAGGTTAAACAAAAATGAATATCAAAGCTTGCATATTGACACCCCCACACCCCACCCAAAAAAAGGGAATTTAATACCTAGCAAACTGATTCATTTGTCTTACAGCATTTCAAATTGATTTTAAGCTTTATTGCTTTGAAGAGTGGAGAAACAAAGTTAATGGAAAATTATAAACCATGTGAAAGAAATAATGTGTTTAAATAATATTATAAACCCATTAAGGGAACTTTTTAAGCTTTATTGTATGTCCTCTTTTCTGGCTGATGCAAGTGTTCAAAGTACTCCTCAAATCCACTTATTTTACAGAGAAAACTTGCAGCTTTCCGCCAAGAATGCCAAGGATAAAAATGACAATTCATAGAAGTTAAATAGAAAGAATTGAAGAGAAAAAATATAGATTCATCCTAGCTGTTACAAGTTGGTGAAATTCTTTCAAAACGAAAAATTAATACAATTGCCATGGAAATAACTTAAGTGCCAAACGTTTAACTTGAGATAGGTGGTCATTGGTCAAATATAAGTACAGCACCCCATTAGCGTGTTATAACTCATTTGAGAAACTTTAATGACAAAATTAACTCAAAACCAATCTGCAATAAGCTGGTATTTTCCACTAGTAACCAGATACCTGCTTGATTTTGTCCCAATATGAAAGACGGACTTCCCTTTCCAAAACCTCTTGAACAAACACACGTTGTGGGGCCCATTTTGGGAGATCTAACACATACGCCCATTCTTCCCATGGCCAGATAAATTGAAAGTTTGACCTGCAACACAATTTCAAACAGAGTGATCTCACTGTTTGTACATAAACACGACTCAATTGTTAAAGAGTGTGTCTATCACATCTAAATGCTTAAGTTGTTAGAGAGCATAGTTTTATATATCTAATAATGTCTTCAGCACCCCCCCTCAGACCCTCACTTGTGGGCTTGATTCTTTTTCACGAGTCAAGCACATGGAAATTCTCTTTCTGTTTTTCTGATGGCTGGTGCCTGGTAGTGATACTCGAACCTAGAACCTCTACCTACTCTAATACCATGTTAAAAAATAGATCCTGGGACTAACTAAACACCCTAAGCAAGCTCAAAAGGTGATGACTGCCCAACACTATATAAGGAGATCAATTATCTAACTCGCAACCGATGTGGGACTTCAACACCCCCTTGCACACCCAAGACTGGACATCTAGAGCGTGGATGATATAATATGGGGCATAACATCGAGCAAACCATGAATTGGAATAGATCTAGCAATGTACCATGTTGAACGTGTGATCATTTCATCTAAGATCATCACACACTTAAACATCAAAAAGGTAGAAGGTTGTGGTTAATTCAGAATTAACACCAACAAGAAGTTCATGAACAGACAACCCAGTACCACAAATAAGCTAAAAACACCAATAAGTAGCAATAATATGCCACTTGAGCAACATCAAGTAAACTCTTCATAAAAACAATGAGCCATTACTGGCCTAACTGTTAACAACAAGAGCTTGCTGAGAATAATGGAACATCTCTCACAACTGTAGCATTTCAACTTACAAATGATGTGAGAACCAAAGGATAAGACGTGTCCGGCATTCCATGTCTAGATCTGTTATTTTATCAAAAAGAGCACGGACAGCTCCAGCTATTACCGCCGGGAAGGCCCCTGGCAGAGCCTAAAATGAGAAACACACAACCATGAGGACTAGTTAGTGGAAATTTTGAGCTCCACAGCAGTTGATAGGAATTTTATGAAACATATATGTAATTAGCTTACAATTCTAAGAAGTTAGCGGATTACCTTGCATAAATCAATGATAACCAATGTGTAATATATCGGTCTGAAGGGCGGTTGTGGCAACAAGAGAAGCTGCAAGATTTAAAAGATATCAGGAGAGATGAAGAAGAAGCTCCCGTAAAGTTATCATGCATCAATGATGAAATAAGGAACATCCCAAGGAACAAAAGGTAAACTGAGAACACACACTATCAATAATAAGGTTCCACGACTTCTATGCTGTTAAGGTAATGTAAAACTTAGCCCCTTAAGAGAATAAAATAAATACATGTTCTTCATCCTAACTGTGGGTTAAACTCTGCCAGTCCAGGTGGATGGCAGAGTTAAGGTCTGTAGGTATAAAACCAATAGCCTATAGCAAGTATACCTGCAGCAATTAACTTTTACCAGTTCAAATAAAAAAGGTATTTGTTCAGCAATTTACATATATTTCTCTTCCGAAAGCAATAGATGAGAAAGTCATGGCTATAACAACTAACAAGTATTCATTAATCCAAATGTGCAGCAAATAAAGTTCCAAGCAGATATACTGGACACCAGTGACTAAAATATTCACTATAACTTCCAGAAAGCATAAGAAGGATATCACACTTTGATCCGGTATGAAAAGCATATATATGCACTTGAAATTCAAAATGTTCAGTCCAAAAAAATAATGCATGGGATTATGTGAGTCTTACAGCAATCCTCAAAAAAACAGAAAGAAAACACCATTTTCACCACTTTTATCTTTTAATGTGACTCAAGAGTTCTAAGAATTGGCACACTGTATATGTTGTCAGGGACTCATAGTGTTGATTAATTGTTTTAACTGTCATTGTGACAAGTCTTTAGTGTGGATTGTGTTGAATGAATAGTATTCTTGATAAACAATTATTTGGACCTTGTTGGATATTAATATATTATTTTTATTGAAATAGGTAACTTTAGGATATTAATATATTATATAAGGGAAAAAGGACAAATATACCCCCGAACTATCGAAAAATGGTATGCGTATACCCTTCGTTATACTTTTGAGACACCAAAGTCCTTGCCATCCAAAAAATGGAGCATTTATATAGGGGAAGAGAATTTGAAGATCATGTTCCCAGATCTTTATATATTGAGCCTACAACAGATGGACACTGTGGCACAAGTGTGGAGCCCTCAAGGTTGGGATTTGATCTTTAGGAGGGCTTTAAATGACTGGGAGGTTGATAGAGTAGCAGGATTATTACACACACTAAATGCATTTCCAGGTGTCACTGAAAGTCCTGATACTCCAATCTGGAAAATGCACAAGAAAGGGATTTTTTCTGTGAAGTCTTGTTACTGGAGCTTAAACTCTAATCAGGCTATGGAAATGGAATGGCCTTGGAAACTAATTTGGAAAATCAAGATCCCTCACAAGGTTTCAGGTTTCACTTGGCTGGCAATCAGGAAAGCATGTCTAACCCATGAAGTGATACAAAGAAGAGGTATACAGATTTGCTCAAGGTGTTTCATGTGTGGGGAAGAGGCAGAAGTTAATAGTCACTTATTCTTACACTGCAGAACAGCTGCAAATCTGTGGAACATGTTCTTATGTATACTTGGAGTTAACTGGGTAATGCCCAAGACTACTTTAGAGTTGTTGAGACAGTGGGAAGGAGTGGGCAGAAGAAGAAGATCCAAAGAGGACTACTGGCCATGGAAAATGATCTGGAAAGTTAAGGTGCCCTTCAAGGTGGCCTGTTTTACTTGGCTCTTAGCAAAACAGGCTGTTCTCACGCAGGATAACCGTATGAAGAAGGGCCTCGATTTGTGCTCCAGATGTTTTTTTTGTGAATGTGAGACAGAGACAATAAATCATCTCTTTTTACACTGTAAGGAGACAGTGAAACTTTGGCAAATTTTCATCAATAAAAGGGGCATCAGTTGGTCTATGCCAGGAAACATAAAGGAAGCTTTGGCATGTTGGAATCGGGATGGAAATCAGTCGGGGCACAGGGAGAGATGGAAGATTGTCCCAGCCTGCATTTGGTGGACTATTTGGCTGGAAAGGAATCAAAGATGTTTTGAGAACAAGAGCTGCTCTATGGAGAAGATGAAGCTGAATTGTTTAGCTCTTTTCTATTTTTGGTGTAAACATGAATATCCTCATGAAGATGAGGATATCACTAGTATGTTAGAGTCCTTAAGGAGTTCATAGGAAAACAACATCACTTTTGTATTTCTGATTGTAAGTATTACTGGAATACGTCCTGAGTATTCCTGTGTTTATAATACAAGTTACCTTTTCAAAAAAAAAAAAAAAAGAGGACTGGTGGAAATGCATCCCAGCCTGCATCTGGTGGACATTGTGGAAGGAAAGAAATGAAAGATCACATGATGGGAAACTTAACAGCACTCAGAAAATCAAGATGAATAGCTTGAGCCTGCTGTATTTTTGGTGTAAACAGGATTTGGTGGGGGAGGTAGATAGCTTAGTGGATTTTAAAGCTCAATTGTAAAGTTTTGGCCAGTTTTTGGCTTTTGAAATTACCCCCCGGGGGCTGTAAATCCCACCTCATCAGGCTTTGCTGATGAGTTTTGATGTGAATATAAAGTTACCTTATCAAAAAAAAATGGAGCATTTATATCCTTCAAACTAACAGACGGACATGTGGCACCATCTTGTGCATCTACCCAATTATTCACTTAATTTAAACCCACCCAAATTAAAAAGACCCACCCAAATAATTATCTAACCCACCCACTCACTAACACCCTAATACTACACCCAAACTACTACTCTTATCCTTCTTCATATAGCCACCATATCCTCCTCCTTCCTCCATACTTGCATCCTCCATTGTTGTTCAACCAAGCAAAAAGAAAAACGCCTTCATCACTGAGTTCTCTTTCTCCTACTGAAAACCCACATCTCCATTCCCTTTTGGAATCATCTCGTCCTTTTTTCCGCGGAGAATTCAAATCAATCGACAAAGATCTTCCCAACCTTATCGCCGTTTGACGTTCATCGGCGCCAACGAGTGCTGGTACAAACACGACAGCTTTCTTGACCACTTAATTTATATCTACAAAATTCTCAAAATCTGGAAAGCCCCAAATTTTGTTTGTCTTTGTGGTCTTCTCCATTCGGCTTATTCTAATTCATATGTAAATCTGGCTATATTCGATCCGTCTACTGGCCGTGAAAATTGTGTATCTATTCTACGGTTCTTCAGGACTAAGTAAACCCAAGAAACATCTTTTTTACAAAATTTCAATAAAAAATCAAACAAATAAACTAATCTGAAGTAACACGCTATCTCATCCAACAAAAAGAGCAGAGCACATAAAAGCTGGAAACTTTATCCAAATTGTGTGTATAAATCAGTATATGAACTACACAATTCAATCGGAGATTGTTTGGGTGCAGGAGCGACAGAGGTTACGGGAGAGAAAGGAGAGCCAATTGGAGAGAAACTCCGAGGCAATTTGGAGTTCATTTTGGAGTTGTAATTAAGCAGGAAGGATCGTCCTTCTGAGTTCGCTGGTGGTCGGACATGGCGACGAGTCAACTAGATGAACTGAAGTCGAGTGAATGATTAATTTGAGAATACGTGTGGTTAGGGTTTGTTAATTCGGGTCTTAAGTGGGTTAGGATATAATTGGGTGGGTTTTTAGTTTTTGAGTAAAAAAAAAAAAAAAAATCAAGTAAATTACTGAGATGGTGCCACATGTCCGTCCGTTAGTGTGAAGGATATAAGTGCTCCACTTTTTGGATGGCAAGGACTTTGGTGTCTCAAAAGTATAACGAAGGGTATACGCATACCATTTTCGATAGTTCAAGGGTATATTTGTCCTTTTTCCCATTATATAATGATAAAATTCCTGTGTAGAGTGTATTTGTGTATCTAAAGTGGCTGGTCGAGGATCTTACTGGGTTATTTTTACGTATAACTAACTACTTACCTTCATGTCCATGCAGATGTTTTTTTAGAAAGACTAATTTTTTCACTTTTGTAACGGTAGGGGTATATGTGAGCCATTTTTGTAATGGTAGGGGTATATGTGAACCACTTTTATAACGAGGGGCATATTATCTCTAAATGGCAAAGATGAGGGGTATGTCCATGCATATGTTGTTATTGAGGATGAAGCTAGAAGCAGATGAGTTCGTTAGAGTTGATCCAGTTGTTGAGGTGAACCTCCAGATTGTTCAAGGAGGCTCCCAAAAAGGAGTTATACCATTTGTTTATAACTGCACACCGACTTTGAGTCTCTCTGTAATTTTTTAGATGCTCCATGGTCTAGTGTGGGATCTTGGGCTAGAGTTTTGTTCCTTCATTTTATTATTATTATTCGTAAATACATATGGAACAATTGGGATCATTAATTATTCGTATTTAATTATTGGAGTATTGAAACTTGCATTTATTTTGATTGAGTCTTGACTAAATGTTAAGTGCATGGTATGAACTGGTTCGCCTAGCGGGTAGTGCTAGTTGGGTGCCAGTCGCGTATAAGGGGTATTTTGGGACATGAAATACCCCTTGGAACTAGTTGAGGTGCACGGAGTTGGCAGTCATCTCTGTTGCTATTCTTTTTATTGTGATGGAGGCACTAGTTTTCTTGTAGGGTTTTGTGCAGGTGAGCAGAAGAGGAGGAAGAATGGTTATATCGCAATTATTTGTTAATGAACCATGAGTTTCTTGTGTACCATAGGTAAGAAAGCCTCAATATTTGTTTAGGACATTAATTTGGATCAAAGTGGTGCAAGACTTAACATTTATATACAAAACCAGTTGAAATGTGTGAAATATTCATGAATTAGCAAGCATACGGAGAGGAAGATGATTGCATTACCGGTTATTTATCTGGGTTTGTCACTAGGGAGAAAATTCAGGAGTTACCTATATATATATAAGAGTCTGTTTGGATGGGCTTATAGCTTATGGCTTACAAGTATAATGCATAAGTTAGGAATCTTAACCTATGCTTTTAGCTTAAAAACACTTCTTTATCTTATACAAACACTACAAAAATGCTTAAAAGTTATTCTGGCTTAAAAGCACCTAAAATAAGCAAATCCAAACAGGTTCTAAAAGGGAGGGAGAGGGGGGATAGGGAGTCTAGGAGCTATGGCAATAAGTGACCAAGAAAGGAAGGAAAATAGCATTGCTGAAGTTTAATATTCTCTAATACCACCACCTACAACAAATCTTTATTCTATAAGCAACCGCAACAGTTCTTACCTGAGAGAATATTGTCTCAGCCATAAGATATTCATATCTGAACGGTACAGGCAGCCCAACCATGTACGCAGCACATTCCTTTCGACTAGCTTGCACCAACCGAAAAGAAAAGGAATAAGAAAAATCATTGAGTTCAGCATATACTACAAAAGCACATAGCAACTAGGTACAGCATATATACACAAGCGCACCTCTAACCTTAAACGCTACACCCAAACACAATGAACTGAAACAGAAACCCTACTTAAAATTAGTGGAACCAAAATTGGGAAAGTTAACAAACCATCCATTCAAGAAGAAAAGCACATCCAACAAATACTCTTCCACGACAAAGCGATCAATGGGTTGAAGATCCTGCCATTCAAAACAAAAATAGAAGGCAAGATCAGCAAGTAGAAATAACAAGTAAGAGTAACGCATCCCCAAAAATTAAGTTCAGCCCTTGAACAATGTATCCTCAGCAGCCAAGCTGTTCATAGAAACCAACTAGTGTTGACTAAACTCCAACATGCAGGCTCTATAGCTGTAAGGCCAAGTAAATCCCTTCAATCACACAATATACACTGATACATTGCAACAATTGGAGGAAGATTTCCTGAGAGGAGGATGAAAGAGGGAGGGGAGATTCTAGGGAGAACTGGCAGGCACAAACAACAAGACTAAAAATACAACAAAATAAGAACATACTCCATATCTAACACACCTGGATACATGCAAATCGAAACCTCTATCAATGGATCAGCCACCATGTTTTCCTATGCTAGGATCAATTCAATTATCAAAACATAAACTAATCAATTACCTCAGTTTTATTTGAAGGAAATATATTTAGCCTCCTTATCCTTTGAGGATATTTTAACTCAGCTTCGTGCTTTTGTCTACCGAAGGCAATTCCAGATAAAGCTCCGGGAGGACCTGGTTGCTCAGGGCAGCTTACTGGAGATAAATCATGAGACTTACCAGCAACCAGCTGTGCCTCAAAAGATAGGTGCAGTCTGGGAACTAGTTTTTTTCCAAATAAAAAAGAAATGAACTTCAAGACAAGATAAAATGCCACACTTTTAACATTAAATTAAAAATGGGAAAGAGAAAAACGAATTGCAAAGACATGCATAAAGAGAAAGGCGCTCAAAACAGTCCAGAAATGCAGAAGACAAAGTTCACACTTGACTTTAAAAAGTCAAATTGCACAATCAAGGAAAAACAATAGCCTAGTATCGGTTTCAAGTCCATCTCTCCAATTTTTTAAAAGAATAAACTTGAAACTCCATACAAGAACCAAATTGCAATCAAAAACCTATTTGGTACAAAAAATTGATCATTCATGTTCACATCCATTTCAGAGAAACTGTTCACTTTCAGCTTCTTGGCATAAACTAAAGGTGAGAAGAGGAAAGGCAGATAAAAAACTAACTTCTTCAGGTGAAATCTAGAACAAGTAACAGGCTACTGTCAGGCAGACAATAGATAGTGCTATAACAAACTTGTTTATCATGTCCAAACTCTTGAATGAAAAAAGAGATCAAAGGAAGTGATGTCCTCTGAACTAAAGAAGAGAAAGATCTAAAAGGATCAAACTACCAAATCACTAGAACCTTCCTCTTCAAGTGGGCTTAACACTCACTAACGCTATTGATCAGTTATTCCATTAGATCTTTATTCAGCATAATTCATGTTTCATATCACTTCAATTACAACTTTATCAGAGAAACACTCAAGGCTACATACAATTCATATTTGTCTCATTTTAGAAATGAAAAGCTATATAACAGAGGTATATGCAAATTTTATCCACAGTTAGTTGGAAGCCAATGTAACCACCACTATCAAATTCATCTAGCACAATACTAGAACTTCCATTAACTTAATATATACAAACTCTAGACTACATACAAGTAAATATAAGAAATTTCCTATTTAAGTAACAGAAAGTGTGAAAATCAAGTTATATGCAATTTTTATCCACAGTTAGTTGAAAACCACTAACATCAAATTATTAGCATAATACTAGAACTTCCATTAATGATTAATCTGATAAAGCACTAATTGACAAGGCATGACCTACCAAACAATCAAGGGAACATAGTATCAAATTTAATTGAAAGAAGGAATAAGGATTGGATAATTACCCCTATTCACAAAATTTTACATTTTTCCCTAGGTGACGGGAGTAGGGGTACATGTGAACCAAGGTTATACAGCAAGCTACTTGGTCATAGCTTGGCCCAGCTACCAACCCCAAGCTCAAGAAGGCCCAAATATGAATGTAACAGGAGCTAAACCCCCACTGTAAAGAAATTCACCTTGTAGCTAACTCAATCTCAAAAACTAGCACATGAAGTGAGGACTGTCCATGACATATAAGGAGACAAATACAATAACATATTCCCTCACCAATGTGAGA